CACGCTGTTCTGGCAAGCTAAGAAAATGTTTATCTCCCTGAGCTTGGCCTTCATAATTCCATTCCATCACACTTGACTGTGTTTCAATGTGCATATTCCCACAGTTCTAGTTTTATATTTAGTATACAGATATTATGAATAGTGAGGAATGTTTGAAATATAAATTACCCAACATCTCAAGATATATAAAAACCATAATGGAAAAAAAGGATGTCTCGATTTTCAGTGTTGTGATATCAAGAAAGTGTTTATAAGCTACTGTACTTTTAAAAGGAATGAGCTTAAACTGTGTATCTGTTTCAGTTTTTTAACATGCCGAGTCTCTTTTTTTAGCATAAAATATGATTCTGTGGTTTGAACAAGTTTTTTTCTTTTTTCTTAGTGTTTTGTTTCTTACCTGCGATCTGTCTACCTAATGAAGAACAAAGAGGTCTTTGATGTGTTAAAGTTATCCATTGCTGAATATGCCCTGTAAGTGCCATTTATCTCTAGCAATTTTAGATGCTATACAAAAACTACAAAAACTGTATATCCTTTTTTACAGATTTCTTTTGAACTGTACAAACCAATGTTGGCTCACTGATTCAAATTAGCAATGAAAACCAGTTTGTTACAAATGGAGGTGTGTGCATGCACGTGAGCCCATTCAAATATAGTTAATATATATGGAAATGAGGAGAAAAAGCAATAAATGAATCCTTAACATTTGTGCTGCCTATTAAAACCCAGTAACATGTGTGGCAATTTCAAATTTTTAAAAAAACGTTATTTGTTTTAGTAGTCCTCATTAGCTAGTCTTCACTTCATCAGTGGGTTTCAGTTTTTGATGTATAAGGTTTTAAATTCAGTCCTGGTATGTTCTTGGAAAGACCCTTCCCTAAAGCTTGAAGACCTATTTCTATTCAGTGGTAATCCTGCACTATTGTATTTCTTTGTTTGGCTGGTTTTTATCCTGCCATCATTTGTGATCAACTCAAGGTGGCACCTAATGCTCCCGTCTCCTATTTTCCTCCAAACAGCCACAACCCTGTGAGGCGGGTTGGGCTCAGAGAGAGTAACTAGATGAATCAATCTAAGTATATTATATAAGGCAGCTCTATGGCCTGAACATTTTGTTAGGAAGTTCTCCTGTTATTGTTAGGGCATAATTATGCCCCAATCTAAGATCAGAGTTTTAATGTTCTAGCATTCATTTAAACATTCCGTGGATCATAAAACTAAACATTCATTTTAATTTCACCAAATTCATATTCATGAAATGGGGGCTACCTCCAGTAGTATACCAAGTTTGATGCATATTCCTTAAAAATTTGGGTAAGATATGGCAATTAAAAACACACACACACACGTTATGACTTATTATATGATCATTTATTTTCAAAAGCAGTGTGCTTGCCCTGGATTTAGATAGAATGAAAACAGGTAGTCCTTGACCTGTGACCATTTGTTCATCAAAGTTAGGATGATGGTTATGAATGGTCCTCGGAGTTCCAACTCTCCCAGCACCCCCACAGTCACCTGATCGCAATCTGTGCACTTGGCAACTGGTTCGCACTTATGACCGGTTGCAGCACCCCATAATCATATGATCACCATTTGCAACCTTTTCTGCCAGCTTCCCCAGAAAGTCAATAGGGAAGCCAGCAGGGAAAGTCACAAGTCTCTGGAGTAAGTCTCCCCTACCCATGCATCCCCGCCTGCGCTCGTGCTGCGCCAGCTACTCATGCACTTTTGTATACCATCCCAGACCTGCGCCATGCCTCTTGTGCACCCCCTTTCCCCCTTGTCCCCCTTCTCTGACTCACGCTGCACCTCTTGCGTACCCCCTTGTTCCCTCCCCCATCCAGCAGCAATGACTTACCTGCCTGTTGGTCTGGGACTTGCAACTTCCTGCCGGCTTCACTGCTGACTTTGGTTGTGGGAGGCTGGCAGGAAGTTGCCTCGCCAAATGACTGTGGGACTTGGTTAATGACAGCAACTGGGGTTGCAGGGATGGCCGTTGCTAAGCAATGAGGTTGTGCTTTATGACTGCATGGCTTAGCGATGGACATTTCAGTCCCAATTGGCATTGTAAGTTGAGGATTACCTGTAGCAATAGAATGTTTACAACGTAACTGCAATGGTATGTGGGAATGAGTTTGGGAGACAGGGCCCAGAGACACTGCCTAGGGAACAGTCAGGTAAGAGACAGCATAGCTTGCAGTTGGATAGTGGGCGGGGCAAGAGGCTCAGAAGAGACCCTCCCTAATTTCTCGGGGTGTAAAGGAGATGGGGAGAGAATTGTACTTTCAAATTTGCAAGATTTTGTTAATGTAGCCTTACAATAAAGTAGAATTAGCTCATCTGGTTGTGTTTCCTGACTGGTCTACCTGGTAAGGCTGACATGAACACACACACACACACACACACACATTTAATTGTGATTACAAGCAACTTTGCATAGAGCATGTCATTTTAGGGAGAAATTCCCCCACCCTCATGATAAGTACAGCCTTTAGGCATGCATAGTACAGTTTTGTTTAAATGTTTTATGTAATATCTATCAATTTATTGTATCTGTTAATCTGTTTTATCTTATGTCTAAATTATATCTGTATTTGCTATTCACATTTTTTGGCCATAAATAACAATAACAACAGCAGCTAGATAGTTGTGAAAACAACTCAGAAGGGGGTTTAGAAAATAAAGGGGCAGAGACTGGGAGAAAGATCAAGAGATCTGTTTGTTGCTGGTCCTTCTATTAAAGAAAATCACAAGCATTAACTCCCAAGATAGGGGTTAGAAAATAAAGATAGACTCCTTATTTTCCCCAGTTCCTGCTGCTACTGCCATGTCTTCTTTCCATCCCCACCTCTCCCTCCTTTTCACCTATTTTCCCTCTTGCTGCCATGGAGTCCTTTAATTTTGCTTCCCTCATAGATTTGCCACAAATCCATGGCATACAACAGAATAAAAATACCAACGAACAAATCAATTAATTAATTGTAAAGGAAAACAGGAAGGTTTATATTTCATAGAAATCCCCCTCTTGATCCCAAAATGGCATCTTTGCATACTGATAATGCAAAGATTCTCCTGGTCATGGCTGATTCCTGGTTCTGAAGCAGGAGCTGAGAGTCCAGGAAGACCCCGAGATTATGGGCCGGTTTGCTTCCTGGAAGTATGACCCTATCTAGCACTAAAAATGGAATATTGCTGAAATCAGTTGGTTTCCAAACCTATAGCCACTCCATCTGCTAAGACTGAGCCTCAACTGTCCAGAAGGATACCATAATTGATGAAATCAAAGGTTACTTAGAAATCTACTAAGATAATGTCTCCTGTCATACCTCCCCCTGCCCCTTACCATGGTTATTTGGTTCCTGCCAATGATAGTCCCCAGGAGCTCTCCAAGCTCATCCCCCATCACAACTAGAGGTTTCATACCAATAGCAACTTATCACAACCACTCCACCAGGGGGACTAGCAATCTGGGAACTGTACCCCCTACTACCTACCTATTCTTCCCCAGAGCCATCCTCTGTAATTGCTCACTAAGGTCCTCAGGTTGTCCTTCCCCTGTCCCCTCCAGGGAGCATTCCACCACCATTTCCTGTTCCTCCCCCAGAGAGAACTACTGTTCCTCCTAAACCACCCAAATATCACTAATAGGTAAGCCAAAGGTCACAGTGACAGGCAGCAGCAATTGGATGCTTCTTCATGGCCAGGGTGAGGTCCTTTCTCATTGCTCTGGCAACAGCTGCACTTCAGTGCTGATTGTCCAACTTTAATGTCCAAGGATCTCTGCAAATTCAACTTCCTGCAGTCAAGTGAGGCTTGTTTTCAACATCAGCCTCCAGCCAAGAACGTTCTGAAACTGGAACTACAATATTTCCATGCTGTGGCTGTACGGATCCAACTCAGCCAGTCTTTGCTGTTGCTTCAGTCACAGCAGCAACAATGGCCAGAAGTTAGATGCGACATCAGCGAAGGTGACGGAAGCCCCTCCTTGTAGCCTTCACTGCTGGCAGGCGATAGTGCACCAATGCTCACCATTCAGTCATACCTCTGAAATCTGGCTGTGCAAAGTATTCCTTCTACTTTGCAAATTTTCTACTTGTTTTCCAACCACATCTACAGTTCCTAATTCCATTCATATACAGCTTTTTTCCTTCCTACTTGGTTCTTATCTTCTAAGATTCCTCTCTGATACCCTGACTTCACTCCCCCCCCCCACAACCCTTCTCCTCCCAAAAGATCATAAATTCACACCAGGTTCAATAGCAAATCTGCTATGTCTGTCTGTCTGTCTTGTGTATCTACCAACCATCTACTTGTTTCCTATCTTTTTTCTGGGACAATAGAGCATAACATCTGAGGCGATCCCCTCCCCTGATTTTACCCACAGAAATACAGCCTTGTAAGTAGATTGAACACAGAGAGAGTGATCAGACTCACATAGTGAGTGAAATCTTGAGTCTGGGTTTCACCAATCAAACATAATCAGTATACCAATAACTAATTAATGTGCCTCACCCAAGCAAGGAAATTTCATTAGACCTCAACA